TTTAATTTAACATATCAAAAAAAGCCATGAGGGATGAAATAAGCAATTGATGCATTTGTTTTAAGTATTGTCTCCATTCAAATACTATTCTACCCAGCCATAAGCAATTCTTAGCCCTCTTTTAACGGTATTCGAAGTGATGTTGTCTAGTTACTGGTTCGGCGAATAATTTTAAGTCCAAATTTGAGTAAAGCTTAATGGCAGAGCTACTGATGAGCCGAATTTGTTGTCTTAAAAGTAGTATCAGAACAAGGTTACGTCGCTACAGCCATACATAAGTTTTTTTTGATGCCTTGGATACATTTACTCTTAACATTTCTATCATGAAAATATTTTGGGTCAACAATGGCTCATTTATTGGGCTGTTAAGTTTGGATATATCATTATTCGCCGAAATGCTAGCTGAGCAAGATCTTCTGGTAAAACTATGGGAAAAAGTGAAATTAAAATTACTCATGCTTAGGTAAAGTAGTATTGAGACTGCGACCAAATAGAAGGTCACGCCATCTTGGTCTCCATATCTACGATCAAATAGTATTGAATTGGAGGCAGCGCCCACTCAAATATAAAGGAACTAACCAAACCATTTTATATGTATCCATATCTAAATATTTTTCGTTATGATTATATCTGACATGTAGAATAGAGCAGGCTAGATTTTTTGATCCGAGGCCTTTGCAAGAATGAGTTTCAGCTCTGAAGCTGTTTGTCATGGAACATTCGAAAGAAATATTAGTTCATTTTCACCCGAGCCGAGGAAAGATGTCTCGTGGACTTCGTCATCTTTAAGATTGCAACCCAATAATTCTTCGTATCCATAATGATGCCTTGTTAACCATACCTCCGGGCATCTAATTCCGGACACGAGTCCGCTTAAGCTACTTAGTTTTTTTGTCTGTGCTCACATGTATTATAAGCATGACCACAAAAGTACCCGGAATTATGGATTACAAACAGCAAGCAGACATAGATTAGTTTAAGTGGAATGACGAACAAAAGATCAGCAACTGTGACATGATTTTTCATTTCGAAGGAAAGGTTGTTGTAAGTATTTCGTAAAATAGTCGCACTGGAGGCCGAAGGAGGATTGACGCTGAGGGAAGATATTTGGATTGTACGAAGAAGTCTTTGGCTCAACGTCATATGACCCTAATGAACTTGTATCATCGACGGTGAGCCGAGGATTTGTTTATACAATTCAGAAGTCTTCACTCAGTGTCAATCCTCTTTCGGCCTCCGGTGAGACGATTTCACGAATTACCTCCAACCAACTTTTCATTGGAAAAAGAAAATCATGCCATATGTAATAACTAAGCAATTCTTTAAAACCCAGTTTTTCTTGATAATTTCAAACTGAACCAAAGGAAAGGCCACGATGAGTCGGTAGTGGAGCTCTAGTAACACTGACCTAAAAGTCGCTTCTTCACGCATTTTAACTCGAATGAGAAGTACTGTGAACAAATGAAATGCCGAACCCAATCCGTTTGCCAGTGTTTATCGGTGTTTCGAGGGTACAGATTGGCGCCCAGCAACCGTTTGATGTCTCGGTAACTCCGACAAGAGGACATTTTATGGATCCCTCCCGACAACCACTATTCGCCCACCAGGACCAGTTATTGTGTGCTTCTCTTTTTGATTCCGTGTTGACGATGCATTCACCACCGACTGCCGCCGAAAGCCCGACAAAGAAAATCCATTCAGTAGTTTCCATTAGAATTTCCGATCCGAGGCCAAGGAAGTAAGACTGATTGAATCCGAGCCGATATTATTCTCATTCCACTTACTAAATGCATGATCCCGCTTCCAGTCATCCACATTGCGAGAAGGGCAAAACTGAGCTGGGCAGAATGAATCCCTCGGTTCGACTTCAATACGCCAGTATACGTGAGCACAAAGCCGTAATGGTGGATGTTGATGGCACGTAGAAAGTCCAAGTCTAGCACGTAAAAAATTCCGAGAAAAGTGTTGAAAATTAGCATTAATAAAAGGGGTGAGCAAACTCCAAAATGTTAATTACTTGAAAAAAGATGTTTTCAAATATTTAATGACGAATCTCTAACTTTCCAAATGTACTCTTCCCTAGTAAATATGGAGCCAAAACAGACTTTTTATTTAAACTAATTACCATTTTTTTACTATTGTAGCTATATACTTGATTTAAAGGTTATAGGTGTTAAAACTCTTCCAGAGCAGACTTAAAGCCTAGCATTTCATGGGAGTTTAGCTATATTTCTATTATTTATGTTCACAAGGCAAAAATAATTAGTGGTCGACTGGCAGACATGTGCAACTTGAAAGTGAAGGCTTTAGGCGCCGTTGACTTACGTAACTGCATTGTTGCATGTTTAATTTTGTGTGAAAAATTGAGTGGATGAGATTGGTAAATCTGCTTCACTGAAAGCCAAACGAGGGCTGCTGGCTTATAGTTGGAAATTTCAATGTACAGAAATCCACCAAAACAATCATACTCGCTTCCTACACCCAATTTCGTGATACAATGAGGATATCATGGTTTGGTAGGCTACTTCACAATTCTGCCCGCATGGTCGCATTAAAAAACTGAAGCATGGGCATGGAAATGCTGACGAATGTTCGGGTGTGTGGTTACGTGTGTGTTCTGTGCACGTCAGTGTACAGCAGATAAGATTGTATCCTTGTGCGTTCTGGTGTACTTTCCACGACGCTGAGCCAAGGACTTTATTGCAGACGTTCAATCATAACTTTAATGCAATTCTAATTTAGGACTATAGTTTTAGACCAGTTGACGAGTCACTTCAAACAAAATGTAATGCACAACAACAGGAAATTATCACTTCATTGAAACATTTCGCTGAAAATATCACGAGAAGCTGGATTTCGAGGAATTCCTTGGCAGATTGATGCTAGCATACCTTTGATTTCGTTTAAAAAGTGGCTGTAAAATATTCGTAAATTGGCTTCACGAATACCGAAAGAAGGTCTTATGTGACTTTTGATTATATGCTTGTGCGGAAAAGACCTTGGCTCATTATCCTGCGACCATCAGACATCCGTGCTGAGCTTTTATCCCTCATGTGAAAAAGATCATCAGAGCCAGATAACATCATTTAAGAAACAATTACCAAAAAACACAAAACCAAGAAAGGTGGTGGGCTGAAATTCTATTCACTTCTCCTTTATTGGTTTGGTGTTTCTGGGAAATAATGGTTTCTGGCTCTGAAGATGTCGTTCACACGACAGATGAAAACTATGGACAGCGAGCCGGGTAATTCTGCGAGCAATCCAACAGTCACAAGTCCGAGGCAACCCTTTTTCGGTGAACATAGAGGTCACTTTACGAATCCCCTCAACCCGTATTCTCAAACGAAATGAAAGGTATGCTGGCATCAATTTTGTTGAAAAGTTTGTCGGCTATAACACTAAAATAGTAATCCGGCTGGCTGGAAACCTACGTTTGGACGTACTCGAAGCGAATTGACCGAATCCCCGTTATGATTGCATACATACAAAGTGGCATTGTGGAAATGAAGTTGTTCTTAAAGTAGCAATTAAATTAATTTATGAGTAGTATTGATATCCAGTGGTATTGCTGTGGTGTCTTCCTCCGAAATAGGAGTTGATAGGCTCACACACATTTATAGATACAAAGAATAACTGGGTTTCGAAAAATCCATTAAAAAAACATTGTTGAGGAGGCTCTTATTTCATATTAAAATGCACGATCGAAAGATTCGAAGGTCGATCTCACCAGAAGACGACGGTTGATTCGCGTTGTACTGCAGCCGTTTGGCTTTGATATGATGTTTAGGTGGACGTAGTCCGCA